AGAAGAAGAAGAGGAGCGCATAGATAGGCTCAACAGTTGTTTGATATAATGACTACTCGTCAGTGGTATCACTGCAAGAGTGAGAGGAAGATATTCTTATGTATTGTGTGCGAGAGAGAGAGAGAGAGAGACGCTGTATATAGAATATTACATAATTTAACAAGAGTTAAAAGTTCAAAGGGTATATTATATGGGAATATGTATAAATTCTTTGCCGCAATTATATTACATGATCTGACATATGAAGCCGACAACTGTATTGATTATTACAGTGAGAACTATAAGCAAATGATATACACTTTTTGCGTTACTGTCATAGAGAGTGGTCTCTAATTACAGAACCTAACGATTACTATGGGATATGAATTGCTTGTAGACTCTCAAGACATTAAGGAATCGCTTCATTAATCTTTAAATCGCTTACTTAAGCAAAATACTTGTCCCTCCCTTTCCATAGCATTGTATTATCGCATCACTTGGTTGTGACTTTCGTTTTGTGCATTTCGTATCTAATCTTATCAATAAGTGAACTATTTTTTATGTCGAGAAACAAACTTATGGCTATATTCTTGTATAGAAAATGTATTATTGAGAAACACTTATGGTTATTGACACAACAGGCGCTTCAATGTAAGACTTATTGTACTTTATATTAGATTTAATGTGTATTTCATTAAAGTAGTACTAAATGCAGAATTTGTTGACTATTATACAGTATATGAAAGTATTTTTAATTATAATAGTTATATAATTTTTTAAATAATATTCTGGCATTTAATTAATATTTCTGTTTCTCTGCTTAAGAGGAGTATAATTAAACATTACATTAATTGTTGGTTCTATTATTAGAGAAAATTTCTATAATCTCTCTCTCTCTCTCTCTCTCTCTCTCTCTCTCTCTCTCATCTCTACTTTAATACTCAATTTTGAGACCTAATTATATTTTAATACCTGTTTCCTAACATCGCTTTCATTTCATATCACTTTTCATGTGATGGAGGAATATATTTGCGAAGATAATAGCGGAACAAATCCTCTCCTACTCTCAGTTATATCTCTTTATATAGTGTTTCAGTATAGATGTGATGTATTTGTGATCCTCGAGCGGTCTGTTATCCATTGTTAGGCACTTCTGCCCACACTTTCAATTTTGATTGTGTTTTTAACCATCGCTTATATTGAATGTCATTTATGGCGAATTGAATAATAAAAGGCGAAGCATTACATAGGCTTATAATTCACATCTTTTTTCTTCGACACAAATGCCATTCAATGGAAAAATATATTCACTTATTTTTACTGTATATTGTATACTATTTGGTTATATTCTGGGCTATAGTTATGTTTTCTTAGGGCTTATACATTGTTAACAACGTGTGGGAAGATATGGCTTACTCTCTCTCTCCCTCTCTCTCACTCTCGCACACAATACACAAGAATATCTTCCTCTCACTCTTGCAGTGATACCACTGACGAGTAGTCATTATATCAAACAACTGTTGAGCCTATCTATGCCTATCTGCGCTCCTCTTCTTCTTCTTTCCATTCACTTGTAATGCAAAGAATATGACATTTCTTTGCGAATGATATCATATATTGTTAATAAATATATATTACATCTCTTATTAATGATATTCTTAGAGCAAAAGTATCTCATTCTATATGAATATAAATTATCTGATATTAAATAAGACATTATTTTCGATATTGAGGTCGTATTTTGACTTAATGCCATTCAATGGAAAAATATATTCACTTATTTTTACTGTATATTGTATACTATTTGGTTATATTCTGGGCTATAGTTATGTTTTCTTAGGGCTTATACATTGTTAACAACGTGTGGGAAGATATCTCTCTCTCTCTCTCGCACACAATACATAAGAATATCTTCCTCTCACTCTTGCAGTGATACCACTGACGAGTAGTCATTATATCAAACAACTGTTGAGCCTATCTATGCGCTCCTCTTCTTCTTCTTTCCATTCACTTGTAATAATATTCAATTATTTATATATAATGTAGAGAATAATTACTATAAGAATCTCGTTTTCATAGAGTAAGATATACTTATATTTAATAGACTATAATTTATTCTGTAATAAAAGCTATAACTCCAGCATAAAACTGATATAATTAACATTTTGTTTGCATATCATTCCTCGCTATCCTATAAATGACAATCACTTTTGTTATGTTGTGTTTGCGTTAGACTTTGAAACACAACACAAATTTGTTTAATAAACACATCTATTCTCGCAAATTAGTGATGAATAATAACATATAAAATATATTTATAATAACTTCTAATAATATTAAATACATTTCTGTGTCATTAATCATATTTTGATTGTTTTTTTCATTATTTGGTGAAAAACATGATAAAAGTAATTTTCCTCCACTTCTCGCGTTTGACGGCATATATAATATGAACGCATTTAATAAGCCGTCGATTACTTTGCCATTAAAGATTAAGAAATGCGAAATAAATTATGACTCAAGTTGCGTTAATGTGTTTTTAATTAATACTTAAAACACACTGAAAAAAGTAATGCTCAGATTTGTCAAACTGCTGTTATTGTTGGGATAATATATGCCGTTATAATAGGGTTTTGTAAGAGTAGATAAAACTACTCCCGAAAAGCATTGACAATATTTTAATATTTTGAAACAAAATTTTTTCATTTTGTGTTAACATATTGTGATCGTTGAATGGGATAGAGATGTGGTGCGGATCAGGTCTGTGCCCAAAGTTTTTTGTGTTTTTGTGTTTTATATGTATAATGTATGCGGGAGTGAATGTCTTGTAAAATGTTATTCAAAAATATATTCTCATTCAATGTATTGATTGTTTTTGTGACGCGAATCGAGAATTACGTTAAAGTATATGAACGCTGACGAGAAAAGTGTATTTTCCTGTCTGTGTGTGTCTTATTGTGTTATTGCCATCACTTCCGCGCTCTTCCAGAAACATCTCAATTGTGTTTATCCTGTTTTTGGCTCAAAAAAGGAGATTTTCTAATTCTTTACGCTTTATTTAATACTGAGTTCAACGCAATTACACAAAAATTAATTATGAATTTTGTGTGACTTTTTTCATTACGAGTCTAAACAGTTTGACGACAATAACAACCCTATTATATAACGTTATAATAGAGTTTTGTAAGAGTAGATAAAACTACTCCCGAAAAGCATTGACAATATTTTAATATTTTGAAACAAAATCTTTGCATTTTGTGGTAACATATTGTGATCGTTGAATGGGATAGAGATGTGGTGCGGATCAGGTCTGTGCCCAAAGTTTTTTTTGTGTTTTGTATGCGTTTATATGTATAATATGTATATTGTATGCGGGAGTGAATGAGTGAATGTCTTATAAAATGTTATTCAAAAATATATTCTCATTCAATGTATTGATTGTTTTTGTGACGCGAATCGAGAATTACGTTAAAGTATACGAACGCTGACGAGAAAAGTGTATTTTCCTGTCTGTGTGTGTCTTATTGTGTTATTGCCATCACTTCCGCGCTCTTCCAGAAACATCTCAATTGTGTTTATCCTGTTTTTGGCTCAAAAAAGGAGATTNGTGACGCGAATCGAGAATTACGTTAAAGTATATGAACGCTGACGAGAAAAGTGTATTTTCCTGTCTGTGTGTGTCTTATTGTGTTATTGCCATCACTTCCGCGCTCTTCCAGAAACATCTCAATTGTGTTTATCCTGTTTTTGGCTCAAAAAAGGAGATTTTTATTTATTGTATTTGTAGTGAATGTCTGTCTGAGGCAAAGGCCAGAACCCAAACCCCTCCTGACCTTCGATGCACTCGCTTTAGGAGTTGAGCCAAAACTTATATTCATAAACATTTCTATTATAATAGATTACTTGTATTACTGGTTGAATATAAATGACTTCATGCTATGGATTCAATTAATTATATTGAATTAAATGTTGCATTTGTCTCCATTTGACGTTCAATTAGTTATATTTTGTTTTTCTCGCGTCAATCGCTATCCGCAGACACAATACGTCATCCGGTGGGTCGCCGTCTGGTCCGGAGGGCCCGCTGAAAGTTTGTCCTGAAGTAGCTCTTCAACTTGGTTTAGGCCTCAGGCAGCCGGTGCGCTAGGGTTAGCGGCGTGTTAGGCAAACGGCGTGTAGTGTCTGTGGTGTTTGTGTCCCCGAGATTCCCACCGGACCCGAAGACACCGCCGGCTGTACCACAGCCTCCATCGCACGGCTATCACACGTTTGACAGCAAAAAGTCTCAAAAGACGGTTAAGAAGGAGAAGGACATCAACAGTGCCAACAAGTTTGTCAAACAGCTATCGTTAGCGCTTCGGTACTTCCAGGATGTGGTCGAGAAGGACAAGTTGGAGCAGTTGTCCGGTTCGGTCACCATTATATTGGAGATTGTCTTAACCGGCTATTCAGAGCTCAAGGCATATCTCATCAATAATGAGCAAAGGTTTGAACCGAAAGCCTATTATTTACGCAAACGTTTGCTTTTGAAATCTAATTATTTATTTAACTCTTTTAAACGACTCACTCTTTTTGGCAAATATTTGTAAACGTTTTCAATTTATTTAGACATCTATTTGTTTATCAATTATTTAGTTCACAAATCGTTTCGGTTTTGAAATCTAATTATTTATTTAACTCTTTTAAACGACTCACTCTTTTTGGCAAATATTTGTAAACGTTTTCAATTTATTTAGACATCTATTTGTTTATCAATTATTTAGTTCACAAATCGTTTCGGCGACGAATCAGGTCTACCAGTGTTTGGCTGAACTGATCCGATGGTCGGACACTGTTTTGCTCAAAAACGACAAATCTGTAGACAAACAAACGGTCACTGATATAGCGAAGAATGTCTACGAATCTGTTAATGTAATTTGAATTCNATTTAGACATCTATTTGTTTATCAATTATTTAGTTCACAAATCGTTTCGGCGACGAATCAGGTCTACCAGTGTTTGGCTGAACTGATCCGATGGTCGGACACTGTTTTGCTCAAAAACGACAAATCTGTAGACAAACAAACGGTCACTGATATAGCGAAGAATGTCTACGAATCTGTTAATGTAATTTGAATTCGCTTTTTATTTAATTTATAATTTATTTGTTTAATTTGTGATTTGTTATCATGTTTTTGTTGTTTAACTTTTTTATCTGTCATTTAGACAACAAAATTAGATAACAAAAGAAATTTTATTAGTATTTATGAATACTTATAGTCTGTCCTCAATTTGAAGCCATAATTTATTAATGCAAATATTTTATGATCCATTGAAACGACTAGAGTCTCGTCCAGTTGTGTATCGATCGCTACAATAGCAGAGAAAATGCTGTCAAGAATAACGAGGAGAGAACGTCAGCGCCAACCGGCGGGTCGTCGGCCGGACTGTCCACTCAAACGTTGGGCCGACCGACCAAAAAGCCGGCGCCCATTTCACTGGCGCTGTTGAACTCGTCGTCGGCGCACAGATCGTCGCTCCCGGAGATACCACTCTCTCCGCGCGAGAAGGAGATCCTCGAGACGACAAACTTTCCGACTCCACCACCCGTTCCCTTCCGGAGCGGTCATATCGATCGCCTAAATCACTCGCTATCGTCGGACAATGTCCTCAATTCCTCGTCTCTCGGCGATGTCTTTGACGGTCCCATTCAAGCGCCACCAAAGCCTCCGTTACCCGTCGGCGTCGACGGTCTGCCTCTCTCTGTGTCCAATATAGTGGAGAGCGGCGTCGAAGACCGCTCGGCTGCCCGCCCGCCACCGCTTCCGCCCAAAAGGTTTCCGCGTTCAGAGAAAGTACTATTCTCTCAGTCAGCTCAGCAGTCGTTTGACTGGTCCCAAACGTGTCAGTCATCTAACTGTACGTCAAACTGCAATAGCGTCGACTCGTGTCTCAATTACTCCGGTCTCAGCCACTTGTCGGCCGACGATCTCCTATCGATGTCTCGAAGCGACGCTAACTCCGACTGCCGGGGCTTTCGGTCGCAACTGAACTCATATAATACTAACTCGTCGTCCGATGAGAACAGAAGCACCACTTCTTCATACAATTTCAGTCGTTTTGAGTACAAGACGACGACTCGTGTGTCACAAACGACTACACAAAGCATTCATTCGTCAAACAATCAGTCGAAAGAGAGTCTCGCCTTTTCGTTGAGTTCTCCGCCCTTTCATTCCCATCGAATCGATTCACTCATTGACAAAATGAGATCCTTTCGGACGTCCGGTGGCGGCGAAGACACTGTCGACGGCGTTGTAGTGCCGCCCGAATTACCCGTCAAAATGAGATCCAAACTGAGTCTCTCTAACATTCACAACATATTGGACTCCAAACCCATGCGTCCCGTCTCTGAATACGACAATCTCGTCGGAACTCCCGATTCTAGTCATCATTGCGGTCACCAATTGATCCATCGGTTGCCCAATAATACGAATAACAATAATAATAACAATGAGACAAACTTTCAATACTCGCTTCAAACGCATACCTCGTGTCCGCACTCGACGTCATGTCCTCACTTCATGAACAACGCGCCGACACTAGAGGTCAGCGATTGTTGCAACGACTTGGAGAACAGACCGCCGCCACTGCCGCCCAAGAGGCGCAATATCATGGCTTACATGGAAATGGTTGACAGCTATAACGGTCCCGAAAGTGCCGAGTTTTACCGCAACTCAATGGCCACTTACGCCTCCATCGAAAACCAATGGCACGCCGTCGAGAAGACATTCTTCCAGCAGAGATCCATTACCACTAGTTTTGTCTCCGGCTCTTCCGACGATTCCGTCTTCTCGTTCGAGTCCGAGACCTCTTCAACGCCTCCGCCATCACTGCCTCCCAAGAAGAAGAAGTCTCTGTTGACGACCGCCTCATCAACGCTGACGACGACACCCAAACTCGAAGAATTGCCGGAATTGATGCCCCGGACGAGCACTCCGGTCAGTCTCGTGCCCTCCTCTGACAGTGGGATCAGCTCTCAGCCAGAGTTGACTCGCGTTGAAATCGAAGAGCCAGAAGAGCTGACAGCACTCGACGAGACCGATGTTTCCGCATATATTGTACTAAAGGTGGCCACCGATGACGGGCCGGACATTAGGGGCGGAACTGTTGACGGATTGATAGTGAAGGCGACCGAAGTGTCCAAAAACGGTAAAACAAATAAAACATTTGAATTTTCATTTTTTTTGTGCCAAAATAAATATTTCCAATAGTTATCTGATATTTAGGCAAAAAAGAGGTCAAAAGTTTAGAGCGTATTAAATATGTTATTTTGATTACAATTATATAATGAAATGCTTTTTTAATACAGTATTT